CTGACACCTGTGGTGCATATTCTTAGCACCCAGTTTATTTTTATGATGGTAACTGGTTTAAAACTGTTTTTAATACAGTGGTACCTCGGGTTACAGTGGTACCTCAGGGATGCGGGTGGCGCTGTGGGTTAAACCACAGAGCCTAGGGCTTGCCTATCTCAGAAGGTTGGCGGTTTGAATCCCTGTGATAGGGTGAGCTCCTGTTGTTCAGTCCCAGCTCCTGCCAACCTAGCAGTTCAAAAGCACGAAGTGCAAGTAGATAAATAGGTACTGCTCTGGCAGGAAGGTAAACGGCATTTCCGTGGGCTGCTCTGGTTTGCCAGAAGCGGCTTAGTCATGCTGGCCACATGACCCCGAAGCTGTACACCGGTTCCCTCGGCCAATAAAACGAGATGAGCTCCACAACCCCAGAGTCAGTCACGACTGGACCTAATGGTCAGGGGTCTCTTTACCTTGGGTTAAGAACTTAATCTGTTCTTAACCTGAAACTGTTCTTAACCTGAGGTACCACTTTAGCTGATGGGGCCTCCTGCTGCCACTGCTGCATGATTTCTGTTCTCATCCTGAAGCAAAGTTCTTAACATGAGTTACTATTTCTGTGTTAGCGGACTCTGTAACCTGAAGCGTCTGCAACCTGAAGCGTCTGTAACCCAAGGTACCACTGTATTGTGTTTCAGTGTTGGAACCTGCCTTTGGATGGTAGGGTGAAAGGCCGGAAACAAATAAAAAACTAAAAAATTAAACACCTGGTGTTTTCTAGCTGCCCTGTGTGTCATATTTAGCTGCAGATGGCCCAGTGATGGTGCAGGGACCCTGGTATCTGTCAGTGGAGGAAATGCCATACACAGCTCGGTGGTAGAGCATCTGCTTTGCAGGCAGATGGTCCATTTCTAGGAAAAGCATATCCAGGAAGAGCTGGGAATGCTTCCTGCCTGAAATCCAGGGCAGCCAATGGCAGGAAGTGTGGCCACTGCTGAGCAATATGCTCTCAATGGCCTCAATCAGCATGAAGCAGCTTTCCATGATCCTAATAGGTAAACATGATCCTAATAGGTAAAGGGACGCGGGTGGCACTGTGGGTAAAAGCCTCAGCGCCTAGGGCTTGCTGATTGAAAGGTTGGCGGTTCGAATCCCCGCGGCGGGGTGCGCTCCTGTTGTTCGGTCCCAGCGCCTGCCAACCTAGCAGTTCGAAAGCACCCCCGGGTGCAAGTAGATAAATAGGGACCGCTTACTAGTGGGAAGGTAAACGGTGTTTCCGTGTGCTGCGCTGGCTCGCCAGATGCAGCTTGTCACGCTGGCCACGTGACCCAGAAGTGTCTCCGGACAGCGCTGGCCCCTGGCCTCTTGAGTGAGATGGGTGCACAACCCTAGAGTCTGTCAAGACTGGCCCGTATGGGCAGGGGTACCTTTACCTTTACCTTTAATAGGTAAACAAGGACCCCTGGATGGTTAAGTCCAGTCAAAGGTGACTAGTGGGTGCAGCGCTCATCTTGCTTTCAGGCTGAGGGAGCCGGCGTTTGTCCACAGACAGCTTTCCGGGTCATGTGGCCAGCATGACTAAACTGCTTCTGGTGCAACGGAACACCGTGACGGAAACCAGAGTGCACGGAAATGCCGTTTACCTTCCCGCCACAGTGGTACCTATTTATCTACTTGAAGTGGTGTGCTTTCAAACTGCTAGGTTGGCAAGAGCTGGGAGAGAGCAATGGGAGCTCACTCTGTCATGGGGATTTGAACCACTAACCTTCTGATCAGCAAGCCCAAGAGGCTCAGTGGTTTAGACCACAGCGCCACCCGCGTCCTTTACCTTCCTAATAGTCACCCTCTTCTACAGACCCTCGTTCCTGCTGTCCATTTGGTGACCTTTAAATGCAATGAGTTGAGGAAGACACAAGATTTGCCCACCTTGGAAGAATGGCAGATGCAATCGATAAACTACATGGAATTGGCAGAAATGACTGGCAGAATCCGAGACATGGGAGAAGAACAAACAGAAGAAGAATGGAAGAAACTTAAAGATTATCTGCAAAAACATTGTAAATTATTTGAATGTTAAAGTGATGCAGGATAGTGAGACAATGTGGCATTAGTGACAAAGCTGAAAGGAATGTGTAAAGATGTTTTATGAGTAACAAGTAAAGAAACACAGTTAAATTAATCAAATGATGGGGGATTAGAAGATAAATCGACAGCAGTGGGAATGGTTAATTTAAAAGAAATTAAGAAATATTAAAATTAGTTAAAATAGAGGAAGAATTTGCTGAAACTAATTTGGAAATTTGAATACAGGAAAGGGAGATGTGAGGAAGTCAGGAAAGTAAGTTATATGAAATTAAGATTTGAACGTACATATTTTTGTTTGGTTTTTGTGTTTTTTATCGTTTATTGTTTGCTGATGTGTTATTTTGTCTTGTTTGTTATTATAAATCTGTTGAAACCTTAATAAAAATCTTTAAAAAAATAAAATAAATGCAATGAGTTGAATTTCTCAAGCATCCCTGTTGAAATGGTTGTGTAGGGACTTATAGGAACTTGCTGCATAGACTGTTTTGAAATAAGATTTCACTCAACGAGTTAGTGCCTTTGATGCTTGCTCTCCAGATGGGCTCAAGCCTGTAGCTGTCAATCAATCATGATACCGCTGATGTTTCACGGATAACAAGAAGTATATTGAGTCCAGAGGTTCTGGCTGTGCAGCATTTTCAAAAACAAGGCTGTAAACCTAACTCTTAAAACAACACCCCCCCCAGCGCCCTGATTCATTTCAGATTCCTGTTTGCTGTCTATATATATATAAAAGCGAAATAATATTGAAGGGGCAATGGAGTGTAATTTCCATTTTGAAATATTGTTTCATTAACATTCTATGTGGAACACGGAGATAGATAGTGTTGAAATACTAATGGGATTTTTTCCCCCTTTAAAAAAACGTGAAAATTAATTAAACTCGATTTCCCACAAAGTTATCATGGTGTTATACTTTAGATGCCACCCTCCCCCTCTGTGTATGAAATGTTAAAACCGAAGTGTCATTTAATTAATTTTTTTTACTGCTGTTCAGTTAAATAATTACAGCAGTGGATTAGGAAGAGGCCTTTTATAACATAACAACGTTTCTTATCCCCTTGCCACAATGTTTTCATTTGTGGATATGAGAAAATTCAAGGAAGCCTCTGTAAGAAAAGAAGAAATACCCCAGGGAAGAGTGGATTGGATGATTATTAAATAGGATAAAGAGGCTTTTAGCAGAATGATCCAAAATCATTATTCTGACAGCTTTTCATCGGAGCATATGGAAGCATACCTGGCCCCAGGTATCTATATGACGAAAATGTCCATTGCAATCTGTTACCAAAGCAGAGGAAGCCAATTTTCCAAGCATATTTTACAGAAGGAAATCGGCAGTTATTTATGGGGGATACAAAGTTGAGAATTGGCTTGTCACCAACCCATAATTTTAGAGGAGGTTTGTATTTAGTTGGATTAGGTTCTTGTGAGTTCAATACGGCTTACTCACGAGTAAGTGTGCACGCATAGGATTTTATTTAAGACATTCCTTACCCATGCTTCATTGCAAAGAGGACTCCAGAGTAAGATAAAAAATTAAAATAAATCTAGTCCCACCATACAAGTACTAAATTTACTTGTGTGGTTGCTTTGCCCCATATATCGGATTGCCCTCTCTTTAAATTGCAGAACCGGCACTGTTAGAGGTGCCACATAATACTTGTTCTGCAATTGTAAGACATTTATGTTTTAGTGAAGCCGCACTCACAACTTTGGAACTCCCTGCCTATTGATATTGGACAGATGCCACTTTTGTTTAGGCAAACCTACCCAGACATGTAAAAAATGTCTTTTAAATCCAGTTTTAGTTTATTGTTGATTTGAAATATTTATTTAAATAGTTTTAAAAACTTTAAAGCCCTAAAGGGCTTTGGCCCGGTATACCTGAAGGAGCATCTCCACCCCCATCGTTCTGCCCAGACACTGAGCTCCAGCTCCGAGGGCCTTCCGCGGTTCCCTCCCTGTGAGAAGTGAGGTTACAGGGAACTGGACAGAGAGCCTTCTCAGTAGTGGCGCCCACCCTGTGGAACGCCCTCCCATCAGATGTCAAGGAAATAAACAACTATCTGACTTTTAGAAGACATCTGAAGGCAACCCTGTATCGGGAAGTTTTTAATGTTTGATGGTTTATCATGTTTTTAATATTCTGTTGGGAGCCGCCCAGAGTGGCTGGGGAGGCCCAGCCAGATGGGTGGGGTATTATTATTATTATTAATAATAATAATAATAATGACAAGCAATCACACAGGGTCAATTTTACACTGCCCAGGGACTTTGTGGGTTGTATCCCATGAATCCACTGAAATTTAAGAATTTAAGTTAGTTGCAGTCATTAATTTTACTAGGTCTACTCAAAATATGACTAGCATTGGATACAGCCCTTAGTCATATCCATTATTTCCAATGAGACCACTCTGAGTAAGACTAACATCAGGTACATACAACCTTGTGGGCTTCCCTTGGGCATCTGGTTGGCCACTGTGAGAAGAGGATGCTTGAATAGATGGGCCCTGCACCTGAGTCTAGCCGTCAGGCTCTTCTTATGTTCTGTAATGCCTCATGGAAGGCATCACTATGGAAGATACCAGCCCTGAAATAGTGAATCATAGAACTGTAGAGTTGGAAGAGATCCCTAGGTTCACCTAGTCCAACCCCCTGCAATGCAGGATTCTTTTTGCCCAATGTGGGGCTCAAACCCACAACCCTGAAATTAAGAGTCTCATGCTCTACCGACTGAGCTATGGAACATCCCCTGTAGAAAATGTCACTGATGGAGCTTTCAAAGCACCTTGTCACCACCAAACATGGCACTTTCCCTCACTAAGACAGTTCTTCTGGGTGCCATTGAGAAGTGGGTCACTGAATGAATTCCATGAGGGTCGATCCTTAGCACCTTGGCAAACTCCTCCTTCTTTCTTTCCTTTTCTTTCAAGCTCCCAGAATCAAATGAGAGCACAGGCACAATAACGAGAGAAGAGTTTGTAGACAAAATGTCCACAGCAGTTCGGCAAGGCACCAAGGAAGAGTACGGCGAGCTGTTTGACAAGATAGATTTGATCCGAGATGGCCTTATTGACTGGGACAAATTGACCTCCTTTGTGCTGCTTGAGCTGTATGAGAGAGATGAACGGGCCAGGCGATCGGTCATCCCTCACTGGAAGGACCTCCGGTTTCTCCCTCTGATCCACAAAGATGCTGTTCAGAGCGTAACGTTATTGAAAAGCCCTATCAGCTACCTGACTGTGAGCAGGAGCGGTTTGCTTGGCTGCTGGGGAGAGAGTCTAAAGTTACAGAGGACTCTTCAGATCACCACAGAAGCTGTCAAGCCTAAAGACCTCTGGGTGACCTCTCTGGTTGCACTGCCAAATGTTAACAAGGTACGTAGCTGTGCTCATGGAAGTGTAACAGTACTTCTGAAACCATGTTAGTGCTGATAATTTTTTATAGCTTCTCAAAAATCCCATCCATGTTGAGAATCGCCTCCCAGTTGGATGTATCAATCACTTACTGCCCTTCGGAGCACAGAAAACATTAATTTGCCCTTCCAACATGTGGGCAATAGCATAGCCTAGTTCCAAGGAAAGGATGGTCTGTTTTCTGATACAGCTCCTGCTACAGCTGATAGGTAGCACCCTAGCCCAGAAAGAAGAGCCCTCCTATCCACCTAAACCCTGACTGAATGATGGGAAATGATTCTAACTGGGCTATCCAAAAGTTGCAAAGAACAGGACTGAGTTTAAGAGGATGCTGGGCAAAGTTTCACTTGGTGGTCTCCCCTTTGTCTTGGTGAGCTTATGTAGCTGTTATGATAGCTCTCAATATTGTGCTAGACGGCTGGATTTACTCAGCATATAAAGTTCCCACAAAGAGTTAGCTTAGGTTGGGGCATTGTGGGAACTTAAAACAGTGACTTAAGGCAGCTGCATAGCACTGCTTGGAATCTTGGACCAGAGTAAAACCTAAGAGGCAGTGTGCCTTTAGGGAGCTGTCCAATGGTTCTAGGTGCTGAAGTTGGTCTTAGCAAGGATGATGCCTGCTTATAGTGCTGGGATGGAGGCTGATTGAGTGTCTGTGCCTTTGTGTGTGTGTGCCTTTGTGTGTGTGTGTGTGTGTGTGTGTATGTGTACGTGTACACACAGCTCCTCAATTAGTGGATCAAAGGACCAAGCAACTTTGCTGTGCTGAGCTTGACTCCAGCCTCAACAATTACCTCCTTCTCTATCTTCTTAGGCCATTGAGGCTTGTGTTTTCTTTCTTTTTGCACTGTAGGCACCCAATAGTTCTTGCCTGCCTTTCTGTAAAAACCTCTCTCTGTAGGCGGCAACAGATTAGAACATCAATGAAAACGTAAAATCCATCTCAGAAATAAAATTAAACACAGCACTTTAAAATTTGCATTATGTCATATGTACAGGCAGAAAGAGGATACAAAGATAAAGATATCAAGAGATGAATGAGAGGGGAGGCTTTGTTTCAGAAAGGTAAGAGAATGAGGGGTGATGGCAGGAGTGGGGACCTTTGTGGGCTTCCAGATGTTGATGGGCTACAGCTCCCATTGTCCCTGACCATAGGCTATGATGGCCGGAGCTGATGGAGGTTAGGGTCAACCAATCTCTGGAGGGCTACAAATTCCTTATTCCTGGATTAAGACAAAGGCTTGAGGTGGATTTTGAGCAGGGGTTTGAAGAAGAAAGTGAGAATTCTCACATGCCACATATTCTTTGTATTAGATTGGAGACATAAAGGGCAACAGGGGCTAATGGGCAAGTCTTTTAAGAAATGAAGGCACTTTTGGATGGCTCCCGTGTGGTAGACCTGGAGGAATGTTCTCCCCCCCCTAACTTTGTTTCTCTCCCACCCCATATAGGTAGCTGTCTCATTTACAAGCAAAGAGATCTATTTTGCTGAGCTGAATTCCAAACAAGGGTTCTCATGTCAGTATAGACTTCAAGGCTTTGGGGGAACAGTGATATGCATGGACTACTGGTACAACCCTCATGATGGAAACGATGCTATTCTGACAATGGGAGATGTCTGTGGGCAGGCAAGTATGGCACAAAATGTCAGGAGAACATCTGGGTGGCCACAGGTTCCTCATCCCTGTTGTACTGGGACACCAGCTGCCTCTTGAAGAGTGCTGGCCCGTTAGTATCATGGAAGATGTCCTGGCCTGGCTGGATGCAGAAGAATGGTGGGAGGCAGCAGCTGGGGAAACCCCAAGGGAAGAAGGCTCAGAGCCAGGTGAGTGGTTGTGGGACAGTGATGAGTGGTTAGAGGGAGAAGAAGGAGCAGACTGGGAGGAAGAGGAGTCAGAAGCTGAAGAGGTAACAGGGTTGAGTGAGCAGGAAGAGGCTGTGGCAGAAAGCAGTCTAGAATCAGAGGCAGCGGCAGAAGCAGAAGCTGGAGGGATGCCAAGAGGCAGAGATTAGTCAGGCTGGTGAAGAAGCCATGGTGTCTCCCCCTCCTGCTATGACCAGCTCCCTTCCCCCCTGATCTCAGAACCTGAAGAGGTATGCAGAGGGCGGAGCAAAGACAGGCAAGATGAGAGTCTCAAATTGCTTGGGGAAGGAGGAATCTTAGGGAGCTGTAGGAAAGCGGTGGCCCTCGGTCCCCACAACCACCTCATAGGGGCAAGTTCTATGGAGAAGTGTTGCTGTGCTCACCAGGCATGGCCTCTTGGACTGTCTTTCTTCTTTGAATAAAGAGTTCACTGAAGTCATGTGAGTTATTTCTGACCTGCTTCTGGTACCCACCCCATCAGAAGGCTTAGTGGACACATCAGTCAGGGAGCTAGAGAAGAGCTTAGCTATATTTCTTAGAGAAGAACAGAAAGTAATAGGGAACGCCTGACTCTCCCCAACAAAACATCTAGTGAGTAAAGTATGTAAGGGCACTATCCACACAGATTGAGCACTTGTTATTTATTTAGTGACAATACTTGTTCACAGTAAGGGACGCGGGTGGCGCTGTGGGTTAAACCACAGAGCCTAGGATTTGCCGATCAGAAGGTCGGTGGTTCGAATCCCCATGACGGGGTGAGCTCCCGTTGCTCAGTCCCTGCTCCTGCCAACCTAGCAGTTCGAAAGCACATCAAAGTGCAAGTAGATAAATAGGTACCGCTCCAGCGGGAAGGTAAATGGCGTTTCCGTGTGCTCCTCTGGTTCACCAGAAGCGGCTTAGTCATGCTGGCCACATGACCCGGAAGATGTACACTGGCTCCCTCGGCCAATAAAGCGAGACGAGCGCCGCAACCCCAGAGTCGGTCACAACTGGACCTAATGGTCAGGAGTCCCTTTACCTTTACCTTACTTGTTCACAGTATCATTGTTCAGGCAGACCTCACAAAGCAGTTTACATAAGATTATTACAACAATAAGCATGGTGGGCTTTTTTTCCTTTAAAGTTGCAATAGAATTGGGGGTTGGGGGAAAACAACTTGTTTTTTTAAAAAAAGAAAAATCAATTACTGCTGCTTCTCTCCTCCCCTCAGGGTAAGATGGGCTTTCAGGTGTCCCTGTAGCAGCAGTTGAGGAAAGCAAGGGGACACGATGGGAACTGGATGGCGACTGCTCCTTCTGCATTCCTCTTGCTTTTCACAAAGTTTAAGTTATATACTGAGTCAATACAGTCCACCTTCATATGTTCAATGGTGGAGATGATGCTTCAGAACTTCCAACTCCAGGGAGATTTAGCTTTTCTTCTTATGTTAAGTCAAAAGTCAATTCATCCCAATTGCTTCTCATTACTCATATTCATTCTCTTGAAAGTACATTTAGCTGCCCAAGGCTTTGTTCCCTTCATTTGCTTTTAGATTGGTTTACCCTCCCCCTTTTGTCATATCTTGCCCAACTATACATGTTGGCTACCTATACATATTTAAGTTCTTTCCGTTGTCCTCTCCTAAGCAAATCCCGGCAGCCTCATTAGCAAAAAAATAGCCTTAGCCGTGGCCGTGAAATTCAAACGCATGCAAGTTATGAATTTATAACAAAGGAGGGGCTTTGTGTGATATTCAGGTTATTGCCATCAGTAATGGGTTGCTTTGAAATGCTGAGAGTGGTGGTAGAAGATTTTTTTTATTAAAATTTTTTAACTCTATCCTTCACAGGTCCAAGCAATTGTCTTCAACACAGCTCTGATCTCATTGTTTGAACGACCTTCAAATTCCACTGAAGATGAAAATGTGACAATGACTGTCACTTGGCAGGAGCTGGTCTCTGGGTATCACAAATGCTGCTATGTGTTAAGGCACAAACTCCATGATAAGGAATGGGTTAGACAAGGTACTGGATCTGAGAAATGACGCAAGGAAGTCCTTTATTTATTTATTTTTAATCTTGGGTGCCAGCCTCTGGTGTAGGACCTGGGAGACCAGGGTTCAAATCCGAACTTGGCCAGGAAGCTCAGTGGGTGATATCTGGCCAGTCACTGCCTCTTAGCCCAACTTAGTACATGGGGTTGTAAGAATTAAATGAGAGGGAGATATGTGTGTGTGTTTGCCATGTTGAGCTCCTTGGAAAGAAAGGTGGGATACAAATGCAACTAATAATAATAATAAACAATAAAAATATGTGGTTACCTTGAGGAAGCTCTGTTTGAACATAGTGGGACTTACTTCGGTGTAAACGCACACAAGTTTGCATTTTTATTAGTGGGTCCTGGAGTTCTTGGCCTCAAGGGCAGCTGGGCTCACGCATCCTATGTGGCCCTAGAATTCTCACACATTCATATGAACTTCTTTACCACACTTTATTTCCATCAGCAACGTCAACCTGCTAATGGTTGCTCTCATGCTGGTGTTCACAGTTCCCAAGGGAAGCCTATACAGCAAACTTCAACTTCTCAGATTGTAATTGTTTTCTGGGGGTTAATTCTGCTGATGTTTAGGTAGTGGGAATATTTTTTATAGCTGCATCTTTTTTTTTTTGAGGGGGGACCGACTTGTGGGGTGTTTGGCAGTAGGAGAGAGGAGGCTGCGACTTCTGGGCCTGCCTTTTGGAAATGAAGATTTTGCTGCCAAGTCCTGTGCCAAAAAAGCCTGATTGCTTCCTTCCAGAAGCTTTTATAGCCTCTTTAACACCAAAGCTCATTTAAAAGTTTTAAATCAAAGCCAGAGGATAACAATGGTTCTGAAATCACATCTCCTGAAGTGACTCTATTTTCTTATCTTAAAAAAGAAGAAGAGTTAAAGTAATTTGCATGCATGCAATCAACCCGTGTCTGAATAATGAATGGCCTTCCTAGCCCTGCTTGGGGGAATATCGTTCTTTTCTGCCACTCAAGTGTTCTGCTTAATACAACATTTCAACCTTGCATCTCAGAGTTATGCTTGCAAGGATGCAATCTGGACCTTTGATGTCACAGTGTAATGCTGGAGAACAAGTCTTCTTGTCCCACCCTGTCCGCTTGCTTCTGCTCTCCTACCTTGCCTGCTGTACAGCATACCTGGAGCACTCCTTTTTATTGCAAGTAGGAGAGGCAGCAGAACTGGGAGAGTAATGAGTGGGAAGAAGCCACTGCAGCTGCCTTGTCTTCATCTGCGTCATGCAATCCAAAGATAGATCTCTGGGTTGCAGCCTGGCCCAATATTTTAAGGGTTGCTTAGTTGTGACCCTCCAGCTATTGCTGGACTACAACTCCCATCATCCCTGCTCATTGGCTGTGGTTGATGGGATTTGTAGTGCAACAGGATCCCATTTTTAAAAATTGAAATACTCAGTGCTCAGATATTTTTGCTAAATAAATAAATAAATGTGAGCAGCCCCAACCCCTGCTGAAACCTGAATTGGTACAGCCCAAACTTAGCTTTACCATTTCATTGTGAACAAGGCCCCCGCCTTTAGAGTTTCATTCAATTACAACAGGTCCCCTACCCCTGCTGTATGTGTTAACCATGGACTCATGGTATACATGGCAGGTTCTCTCTTGCTGGAGGTCTTCAAGCAGAGACTGGACATGCTCTAGCTATGAATTCCCTTCCTTGAGCCAGAGATTGGATTAGATGATCTATAATACCCCTCCAGCCATATGATTCTACAGTACAAAGAACAGCAACTGGCTCAGTCTTTTCTTCAAGGAACATAACATTTTAATTTGCCATATATATTCTGATATGGGAATTACTCTTAAGACCACCATTTTCAGTCAGGCATCCTCCAAGGAGCTTGACTTACAATGTAATTTAGTCAGAAACAAGTTTATGTCTTTGTTGGAAACTGCGAAGATTTCTCAGCTCCTAATATTCATAACATTTTACTCTCGTAAAAGTCCCTAGAGTCCAGAGAGGCAGGTTGTGTGTGTGTGTGTGTGTTTTATTGAAATTCCAACTATGCCATTCAATAGCAAACATTACAGCAGCATATAAAAACCTGTTTCCAGATGGTTATACTTTTTTCTAGATATCTGCACAAGTAGTTTGACTACAACTCGCATCACCCAGAGCTTTGACCATACTCACTGAGGCTGATGGGAGTTGAACAGCATCTTCTTCCCCATCACTGCTGTAATATAGCCACCAATTTTGTATTCAGAACTTCTGTCTCAATGGCCGTCTTCACATGCTACATTTTTACTGTGTACCCATTAAATGCTTTTACATATGCACATATAAAGGCAATGCATGAAAACACACACACGCAAATACAAAGCCATGTTTGTCTGGCAGTCGGAGTTAGCCAAGGCTTTCCAACAAAAGTACACTTCATGTTTAGGTTGCCAGCTTGATGGCATCTCAAACCTTAAATTCAAGTGATGGGGGCTTAGTGATGTTGCATGACTTTCCATTATTAGACAACAAATACAAATCTGGTACCAGGTTGGAGGAAAGAATAGCACTAGATGTGAAGACTTGGAAAAATTAAATTTCTACTGCAAATGTTTGTGCTCTGCTTATCTATATCTATCATCTATCTATCTATCTAATCTATCTATCATCTATCTATCTATCATCTATCTATCATCTATCTATCTATCTATCTATCTATCTATCTATCTAGCTATCATCTATCTATCATCTATCTATCTATCATCTATCTATAGCTACCTATCTATCATCTATCTATAGCTACCTATCTATCATCTATCTATATCTATCTATCTATCATCTATCTATCTATCTATCTATCTATCTATCTATCATCATCTATCTATCTATCTATCTATCTATCTATCTATCTATCATCTATCATGATAGATATATCTATCTATATATCTATCATCTATCTATCTATCTATCTATCTATCTATCTATCTATATCTATCATCTATCATCAATCAATTGATCTATATCTATCATCTTCTAGTCATTTATATCTCTCCTTTTCTACCCAAGTAGGAACAGGCTGCAGAAACATTCAAAACACCCAAATCTTAACACAGCGCAACAAAACTTAAAAACTGATTCACCGCAATTGACTCAGCTCTATGAAAGAACCTCTTACTTGATGAAGAATCTAATCAAAATGCCATCTCTATACTGTTTCAGTTGCATACATCCCCTCCTTAGATGTCTTTCTGTCCGTTACCACCAGCAGCACAAACACACTGGTGCTAGCTTGGAGAGAGAAATTAAGTCCTCGTCTTACAACGACAACTTTCCACGTCGCTCAAGGAGTCAATGCTTTTGATTTCCATTCAAGGCTCAACTTGATAGGTATGTCACTATAATTTGTTTTCTTGTAAAACTGAAAGGGCCAATCAGAAGTCTAAGAGTATGTCTGCACTGTAGCAGTTGTAACTGGTGCCTGTGTGGCTTGGTAGACTGGAAGGGAGCCTGACAGGAGGAAGAACCAGAGCCAGTGATAGGCGGATGCACCTAATTCTAGTTTTGTCTCCATCCTCCTCCCTACTGGAAGACAACAATGAGGTAACACTGAGACTGAGAAGGAAGAAGCTGGTAGAAAGGTGAGGAGTTTGTGAATGAGTACCCCATGCACCCTAATGGGCCAGTGTTTAGGTTGTAGACTCATATCAGCTATTTTCCCCTCCCAGGGGAACCCTAACAATTTCACTTTGGTAAAGTAGGCTAGGTAGAAATTCGCTAACGGCAACTTCATTAAACTACAATGTCCAGAATTCTTTGGGGAAAGCCGTGACAATTATATCCACATAATATCAGTATAAATGAATAGGTGAATGCAGAAATTCTAGTTTGATTCGGATATAGCACCCGAGACGAGGCACATATGGAAAAGGGATGGGAGGAAATGGCTCTAAGGGAAGGTCGTTTTGAAAATGCCCATGAATCCAGTTGTGGCCTAGCTGGTTGTCCTTTGCTGGTAATACTTCTCCTCAGAGAGAGGGGTCTAGTCCAGGCATAGGCAGACTTGGCCCTCCAGATGTTTTGGACTACAACTCCCATCATCCCTAACTAACAGGACCAGTGGTCAGGGATGATGGGAGTTGTAGTTCCAAAACTTCTGGAGGGCTGAGTTTGCCTGTGTTTGGTCTAGTCTCCAAGTCTTCTGGCTGTTGGAGGGGGGTTATCATGTGGAAGGAAGTGTGATAAAGTATGGGAGTAATTTCTGGGCTGCATTCCACACAGTAAAGTGCAGTAAATTGTACTGATGTTGTAAAACATGACATTTACCTAGTGGTTGCTGCATCTTAGAACTCTTAAATGCCCAGGGCTCTATATATCAGGGTACTTCTGCCTGACAAATGTGAACTGATTTTAGATAAATACAACCAACATAAGTTCCCCCGAGGAACTTTTGCAAGCTGTGCTTTAGTGAGCTCTCCGGGTATACCATGTTCTTAATCCCCAAACAGAACAAAAAATCCCAAGTATTTATTAGGCAGAGTAATAATTGTCCAGCCAATTTAGGCTTATGGTGGTCAATTTCTCTATCCCCCCCCCCTTTGGCTTAGCATCAGCTCTACAGCCCACAAATGCCTGGGGCGGTAGACTTTTGATTGCACCCTCCAAAAGCCAGGTGCAGGTGATAAAGCGTATATTGCCGACGAAACACTTGCCGGAGGAAGGAGTATAAGCTTCACACTGAAAAGGAAATTCATTAAAACAAAAAACAAAAAAAAGTACAAATGGAGCTCTGTTCTGAATTGATGTGAAGTGGGGTGGTAGGGAAAGGGGAACAAAGGGGACCTGAGGCATTTGTAAGGAGATGGATAGACAGCAAAACCAATAAAGAGATGTTGTAGAGGATTGAGGAGGCTGTTGTAAAGAAGAGGCAACCAAATATAGAACATACGCTAAGACAGGGATAGAGAATCGGTGGCCCTCCAGATGTTGTTGGACTGGAGATCCCATCATCCCTTGACTATCAACCGTATTGTCGGAGCTGATGGGAGTTATCATCAGTGTACTCGTGTCACCTTGCTGCAAAATTCCTAATGGCTGCTTCCAACAGCTTCATGTGGATGCTAAATAGCAATGGAGACAATATACTGCCCTGCAGCAACCCATAGCTCAAGAGCCAAGGGGCCGAGAAGCGCTCATCCAGTGCTACGTCCCTGGAGTGAAGACTGAAGCTACTGCAGAACAGTGCCCTCAAAAGCCATCTCCTGTAGGTGGTCCAGGAGGATACCATGGCCAATGGTATCAAAAGCTGATGAGAAAGCTTGTAAAAGTGGTCATCCATCAGGGTAACCAAGGCAGATTCTGCCCTGAACCTGGGTTTAAACACAGACCGAAATGGGTCTAGAGAATCAGTTTCTCCCAGGAATGCCTGCAGCTGTGTTGCCGCAACCCTGTCAAGTACTGTGCTCAAAAAGGAAGTGTTTGTGACGGGGTGGGCATTTTCACCTCCTTCAAAGTGGTTGCTACTTGCCCCCCTTCATGCAGAGACATATTCACCGCAGCCTGAACCCACCCAGTCATGCCACTCAGGCTAGCTTTAGTCAGCAATTGAAGGCAGGGGTCCAAAGGGCATGTCATTGTGTGCATACACATAAGTACCTTGTCAACAACCTCAGACTGCGAAAACTGAAACTGATCTCACGAAACTTGACTTGATGGAGCATTAAAAAAACCAACACCTTACTTGGGACTGATTGTATCAGTCCTGGCATCTAGCTTGCTACTGAGATGAGCGGCTGTGTTCTCAAGCAATTCCCAGTGAGTCTCTGAGGTGTGCCGGGTTCCACCCCCTGATACAGGTGTCAACAGCCTATGGATATATGATGTCACATACAGTGGTACCTTGGGTTACAAACACCTTGGGTTACAAACACCTTGGGTTACAAACTCCGCTAACCCGGAAGTAGTACCTTCGGTTAAGAACTTTACCTCAGGATGAGAATGGAAATCGCATGCTGGCGGCACGGCGGCAGTGGGAGGCCCCATTAGCTAAAGTGGTACCTCAGGTTAAGAACAGACCTCCGGAATGAATTAAGTTTCATCCCACTGTATAGGGAAGATGAACAGGGCTTGGCTAAAACACCCTCACAGGCCAAATGGAGAGGCCTTACAGGCCTCTCTAGGCCTGTGGACCTGAAATTCCTCATCCCTGCCAAGGAGTGTCCATTGTAGGACTGCACCAAGGTCTCCAAGACTCATCTTTCCTAGTCTCAGCCAGTGTTCCCTTTCTTTGGCTCACATTGGCTCCATATCAAGTCAAGCAGCTGCACAAACAGATTAATTTTTATGAAGGAAATGAATAGGGGGTGAGGGAGAAGCTGCATCAAGGCAATCAAATCTGGAGAGTGGAATGGAATCCATTAAACAAAAATTGTTTACGGTTGCTGCAACTTTGGCATATTTCTTTGTCATGCTTGTAAAAAAAACCAAACGTTTGTATAAATGAGTTTCAACTTTGTGACTTTGAACAGCGACCGCAGGAGTTAATCGCCATGTTTGCCTTTGGAATCCTTATGTCACGTCTAAGCCCGCCGGAGTCCTGGAGGGCCATTCAGACAGTGTAATCGCCGTCCGGTTCATTACTGAGCGCAAACTGCTCTTCAGCTTCGGAAAGGATAAGGTGAGCTTGGGAAGAGCCGGAGAAGCAGAGATCGTTAGTCTTCCTCTAGGCAACGCTCCGGTTAAGAACATGGAACCCAGAAGGGCACTAGTTTTGAGTTTCTCAATCCAGCAGCTGCTCCACTTTGTAGTGTTCATGACTAAGTCTACTTAACATGGGTAGAAATGGTCTCATCCTTGGAAGACACTAAGCAAAATGAAGCCTCTAAGACAGGGGTGGGGAACCTCAGGTTTGGGAGCCAAATGCAGCCTTTCAAGCCCTTCTATCTGGTTCTCAAGACTCTCTCTACACCCCTCCTTCCCTAGCCACACCCACTCCCCTCAGGCAACACCCCTCACCAACATTGCTCTTCTTGAGTAGTTTTTGTGCATGTAGAAAACAGCTTATTGTATAAAGGTAAATTTTACATTTGTTGCTCTGCACACTTTTGATGCTGGTCCCACCCAGTACTGAGAAACGTTCCCCTCACGTGCGCTAATATATGAAGGAGGCAGCTGGCCATATGAGTTCCATCCTGCTTCTCTCCTAAGATGAGAGCAGATTCACATCTCAAGTGAAAAAGGAGTGTTTCCTTTTCTTTATGGGCTGTTACCAGGAATTAAGTCCACTTAGTATCTCTCAGGTCTTCTTCTTCTTCTTCTTCTTCTTCTTCTTCTTCTTCTTCTTCTTCTTCTTCTTCTTCTTCTTCTTCTCCTCCTCCTCCTCCTCCTCCTCCTCCTCCTCCTTCTCCTTCTCCTTGCCTTTTGAGACTCTCTGGTTAGCTATTCATTGCCAATTTTCTCTGTCCTGCTCCCCACCTCCTCTCAATTCTCTTTGAAGGGCTACTTCAACAGCCAGTTCCCCAGGGTTACAGAACAGAACATCTCCCGTGGTTGTATTAAATGGATCCATCTCTTTAGCACAATGAGTTCTACCTGAGTGATGGGACTTTCTCTCCTTCTCCTCTTCCTGCCCCCCAAATCTGCTCCATATGGTTGTAGGAATCCCTGGAACACATTTGTGGGGCACAAAGGGAGAGGAAAGGGGGAGAAAGTCCCATTGTATAGGCAGAAGTCTTTTCTTTGCATCAATTGGACGACTTCATTGGGCGTCAACTCCTGGATTCTACCTTCGGCCTCCAGCCCACCTTTAGCTAGGCTCTCTTCCTTTCTGGTCTTGAGTTGCAATGGCCTTCATTTCACCGTTTCTCACAGCTATGGCAAATCCCCTTCGCCATTCGCTGCAGCTGCCACCAGCTGGACCTGTTCTCCCTCCAATCCACTCCAGTCTCTTCATCCTTAGGGATGCTGCCCTGGGGAATGTCTAGCCACAACCACAATGGCATTTATTTCAATACCTTAAGAAATAACAAGAAACCTCTCCATTGAATCTTGTGTTTTTTTCACTGAAATATCTAGAATGCAAGTCAGCTTTTGCTGCCATTTTAAAAAATGGCTTATCAACATTTCTCAAATTTTTATTGCCACATTTTTACTGGCTCTGGATCAGTTATTTCCATTCCAGGAAAAGCTTCACCTGCTGCATTGGTGTGAGGCTGCTTTTAAATGCACAGAAGCAGGGCGAGTGGGAAAGTTTTGGACCTTAAGCTAAGGTCCTTCATTAGTTGCGTTTCTCATGCCAATCTGAGCCTGCAGCCTTGATTTGTGTCCAGTTAGCATGTCCTTAAAAAAAATCACAAAAATCTATTTCCCTGCCACTAAGCCTCTTAATACATTCTGTGACCATTGTTTTGCCTGTAGTGGTTTAGCTCTTATTTTACTGCCTTTTAGCATTCTTGACATTAACATGAATCTGTTTCACTTTGATGGATGAATGGGCACCTGAGCTAGTAGAGTTTATTTACATGCAAACCTCCTGCTCTGCTAGAGCAACCGCCAACATACTGCCAGCCAACCCAAATGACACATCTGCTACGCAGTGCCATGTAGGACAAGGGCTGGAATAAGAAAAGATAAAAAGGCTTCCTTTGCTGAAAGCCTTGGTTTGACAGCTCAGGAAGAAAAGAAATATAGGTGTCCGTGATTAGCTTGCACTTCACATCAGATAAGGCCTTGATTTGGGGAGAAAACAACTATTAATTTTAATTTGGCTGCATCCTCATAAGGAAACTAGGATATCTTTCAGTCCAGGGATTTAAGAGTAATGATTTCTAAGAGGTTTGCCTGTAGGGGTAAAAATGACCAGTGGGAAGTTTACTAGACAGTGCATGAAATGACGTTGTCAAATAGTAGTCTGTGGCTGTTGAACTCAGCATCACCACTCATGGAGTTTATCTCATGTGAGATAGGTTAGGCTTAGAGACTGTGATTGGCAGGAGGTCACGATGTGGGGCTTCCATTGATGTACCCTCCAAGTGTCCCAATTTTCTAGGGACAGTCCCAGGATTATGAAAGCCATTCTGGCTCCTGATTTGATCCTGGAACGTCCCAATTTCCCCCGACAGCACTGCCACCGAGTTTGGGTAGAAGACGCCGCCACCACTGAGGCCCACCCCTGCATGACGTGCTAGCTCTGAGGGGCAGGCAGAGGGCAGGGCCACCCTAGGCAAGAATAAAGGGGGAGTGGGGGGCATCCCATTGGTGTAGCTGTGATGGCACTCAGCCTTCTTCTGATAGGAAATGCTCCGTGGGGAGGCACAAAAATGGGGGTTGAAGGGGGTCAGTTGGGACGGGAGTGATAACTCCTAGTGGGGTGGCAGCAGAAACAGAGACATATATAGATTGTGCTCCAGCACTGGGGGTGGAGAGCAGGTGGGGGCGTGGCTGGTGCACATCCTGGAGGCATGGCATGCCACCCGCAGGGGCGTGGCACACGTCCTGGGGGTGTGGCGTGCTGCCTGCTGGGGCGTGGCACCCAGCGCTGGGGGGGGGGGCAGCCACGATGGCACCCCACTGGGATCATGGTGCCGGGGGCTGTGCGCTCCCCATGCCCCCTTTTTCCTCCGCCAGTTAGCATGCCCTCCAGCAATCCTCAGATGAAAATGTCCTTATTGTTGGAGGGTATGTGGACAAGCCAGGATTTGAACACAGGCCTCCACAAGAGAAATGCAAGATGGGGGGCGCGCAGGAGACAAAATTAAGATTCACCTAGTGCATGGAGGTCCAACAGGTCAATCGCGATCTACTGGGGGATGTCTGTGGTAGATCCTGGTCGATCGCGAGACCCTCCCCCCCAAAAAAGCTCAACTGCTTTTGTCAATCCAATGGGTAGATCATTGCCAGTTGTTTTATAATGGGAGTAGATCACAGTCTCTTGTAAGTTGGACATCCCTGACCTAGTGCAACAAAATCACTTCACCTGCCCTGGACCGCTCTATCTTTGTCCCTCTGGCAGGTTCACTGGAATGAGGGAAGGAATCTCTCACCCCTCATAGAGTCTGGAAAAGTCTGGGTCCTTTGACAGTGACACAGAAGTTGTCAAAATATTTCCCCAGGCACTTTAAAAAAATTCCTCAGCTCCTCCAGCATCCGTGCTCATCTCCCTCTCAACCTCAGGTAAAGGCAAAGGGGGCCCTTTAGTAAAGATGATTGAATTGGGTTCTACATTTCCCATCTTGCATGGGCCTCTTGCCAGCTTTGCATGGCTCTGCCAGCCTGAACAATATGCAGCCTTCAGAGGACTTGATGAAGCCTCCTATAGAGTACAACTTGTAGCCCTCCATATAGAGCTGGACTTCAACTCCCATCCACCCCAGCCAGCATGGCTTTTGGTCCTGGATTATGGGAATTGTAGGCCAACACCATCAGGAGGACCACAGATTCCCCATCCCTGAGGAACTATACCTAAGCTTTGGTTTTACCTTTTTCTGCACCTTCTGAGTTAAAAAAAGAAGTAAGTTTGGTTTTGATTTATTCCTCTTCTCCTTACCATGCACAGGTCTTAAGGATATGGGACATTCAGCATCAGCTTTGCATCCAAAGGATTTCTGGTTCCTTCCCCAAAAGCCTAGATTTCCATTCCACGCTTTGCTTTGATGAATCCCATGGGCGTCTTTTCATCTCGTTTAACAACCAATTGACATTGCTGGAGATGGAGCAAGATTCAGGCAAAAGCAGAGTTGCCAGTCACAGGAAAGCCGTTACGTGCCTCCTTTACAATTCAGTGCTCCAGCAGGTAAAATAAGAAAGAAAATAGAGTCCCTTTCTGTATTTGTCTGATAAGCACTTCGAACCTTTGATTCACCATTTCTTTATTGCGATTTCAGCAAGTAGAAGAGAAGCACGGGGGGAAAGGAAACTATGTAATACAAACGTGTATTAATTGTAAGCGTTTGGTGACTTTTCTGCAAAGGATTGTGAGCATTTTGGCTTCCTAAAGAGCTTTGTTTCGCAAGGGTGCCAGTGAATTCAGTATGGCTTAAGTCCATGTACTTAATCTCTGTTCAAAGATTACTTGCTGGCGTTGCAAATGCCATGGACAATAAGTCCTATGCTCCATGCAGCCCTCTGAACCTGCACCAAACCTACACCTTCCCATACGACTGGGGTGCCCTGCATGCTTCTTGTAGGTGCCTAAGCACAGCTCAAAACTGTGAATTGATGTATGGAAGCCATTGGGGAAGGGCCAATGAGGGCAATTTGCTCTCTGTTCCATGAATAGGCTGCATAAACAGGGCTATCAATGACAACCTCCATACCAAATGAAGTTGTGAGAGGCAGCAGGTGGAGGGAGGCACCATGTACATATTTTATTTGCTCATTCTCAACACAGATTTATGTAGCCACAGAGGGCTTGGTTAGAGAGCTACCAAAAATGGTCTCAGGGTGTGTATTGGGAAGGGAGTTGGCAAGCAGGGAAACAGCCCCTAACATGTATGTGTGTATGTGTATATATATGTGTGTGTGTGTTTTGTGTGTGCGCGTGCAAATATATCATAAAGAAAGGAGCAAAAATATAAAAACATAAATGATCTTAAACAAGACTGTTTATGTACACGTCAACAGCTGCAAGGATGCTTTTAGCCCAGAGATGGAGAACAGACAAAGTACTGACCAGAGAAGAATGGCAGACCAAGTTGATGAACTATGCTGGCAAAATTGACGGGAAAGATCAGAATTTATTAATTTATTAAGGGCTGGAATAACTTTATAATGTATCTTAGACTTAGAGACTAATGTAAACATCTGAAATCATTAGCAGGAATACAATAACACTTGAAAAGTAACATGAACTTTGGGCACTATGGAGATGTAATAGATAGAATACAGTAAGAGATGCAGGAATAAACTTTAGAAGTGGAAACCAGGGAGGGAGGGAGGGAGGTCCAGAGGTTCGAGAGAACCTTTTGGTGTCTTTCTTTCTTTCTTTCTTTCTTTCTTTCTTTCTTTCTTTCTTTCTCCTTTGGATTTCTTATGTTGTTTATAATTATTATGTAAAAACTAAATAAATTTTTTTACAAACAAAGAAAATATAAAAACATCACCAGGTGACAATAAAAATATTCTATTAATCTTAATTTAAGCATAATAATCTAGGCATTCCACATGTCCAAATTGCTATCTAAAGAGGTTATAAGCCACACATTCAAATGTAGAAAGGGAAGCAATAACTTCAGAACACTGAGCAGTATGTAGTGGATTTTTGCTCTTCCAGCTCTGTGCACCATAAGGGCTCACAAATCTGTTATTCCCCATGCCATACAGAGTGTGTGAACATCCACAGGTTTCTCCAAGACAAGGTTAACATCAACTGTTATTTCTGACCAGAAAGAAGACATCATATGCGCAGCCAGTGCAGATGTTGTAGCACAGGTGTGTCATGCTGTCAGCGGTCTACCCCCAACAGTAGTCTAGCCAATGCATGCTACACTAGCTGGAGTTTCTGGGCGTGGCCCATGTGCAGCCCAAAATTGCACACAGTAGTAATCCAGTTTCAAGGTTTTGCAGCCCTGCTTTGAAGTGGCCCAGTTTTATCCATCCCAGAACAAATTGCTGGCGAACAGCTGTTTCCCGCTCCCAGTGCATCAGATGCTGCAACTCTGCACTGCTCCATCCCCAGTACCAATCCTAAGAATTAGCAATATTAATATGTTGTTGCTGCTGCTGTTAATATCTTCCTTCCAGTTGCAAATTCACCCGGTTTTGAAATCTTCCTATGAAGTCACCTTACTGCACCTGCCAGGATAGTTATAAAATATGCACACGGTGTAATTAGCTGAGATGTGCCTTCTTGCTGGCACATTTCCCCAGAAGTGACTCTCAGTATGGTGGCCCTGGATCACAGTTATGTATTTCATCACAAAATGAAATCAGTTAAATGCAATGCCACTTGGTATGCAAGTTGGGTGTTATTTGTCTTCCCAGCACTGCGGCCCTTGCCATCAGAGCACTACCTGCATCTCAATGAATAGCCAGGCTTGGAAGAAAAGGGAAAGACCCCTGTGATTGATTTCTCCCCCTCCTTCTTCTTCAGCTGCGCCCAACAGCATCTTTTAATCTCCAGATTGAGATTCAGCTAAAGCGAACATAGCTGTATGCTGTGGGGTGATACAGAGCTATGGGTGGGGGATCATTTATATTCCCCACCCCTTTAAAAACAACAACCCCGTATTCTTTCGTTTGATTGTGTGCGAGTGCTTTGGAACAAAGCAGGAATCTTGCTGCCTGTCAAATAAAGGCAATAGCTACCCTGAGCACCATCGCTGTAAATCTGTGGTCTGCAGATGTAGGACTCCAACTCCCATTGGCCCCAGCCAGCAGGGACAATGTTGCGGGATGATTAGAATTGGAGTCTCAACAAAATCTGGAGGGTTATCCATCCTTAGCTGTAAATTAAGCACTAATCGGCTGCAATCACATCTACGCCTGCATGGGAGTAAGGCTCCTGAATGTGTGTGATTTGGTTGCAGCTCCCCCTTTGCACCTGATACCAAAGGCACAAAAATTTATCAAATTTAAGGTAAAGGTAAAGGGACCCCTGACCATTAGGTCCAGTTGTGACTGACTCTGGGGTTGCAGCGCTCATCTCGCTTTATTGGCTGAGGGAGCCAGCGTACAGCTTCCGGGTCATGTGGCCAGCATGACTAAGTTGCTTGTGGCGAACCAGAGCAGCGCACGGAAACGCCGTTTACCTTCCCGCCGGAGCGGTACCTATTCATCTACTTGCACTTTGACGTGCTTTCGAACTGCTAGGTTGGCAGGAGCAGGGACTGAGCAACGGGAGCTCACCCTGTCGTGGGGATTTGAACCGCCGACCTTCTGATCGGCAAGTCCTAGGCTCTGTGGTTTAACCCACAGCACCACTCGTGTCCCTTTACCAAATTTACCAAAGGTAAATTTCACTGTGAGAACAGGATGCTGGACTAAGTTGAACCATTGGTCAGATCCAGCAAGCTCTTCATAACTGAGGACACTATCTCCAGTTTTTCTACCACAGCTCTCTTCCAGCCTCCTTATCTCATAAGCTTTTGGCCATGTGACATTTTCTCTTACTGCTGCATTGTATCTGCTAACAGTGGTATCTTTTGTGTCTGAAAGTGCGCACGCGGGCGGGGGTCTGTGTGGCCTATCTTCTCTGTACTTTATCTTTCAATTTTTTAAATAATCCCTTGGGGACACTTCCAGAATGAAAGGTGTGATTGATTTTTATATATCAATGAAAATATCAGCTCAAATGCACCACAAGGCAAGCAGTTAATACAGCCTGCCTTTCTCTTTAAGTTTCATTGTGAAACGAAAGGAGAAAGAAGGACCCCCTGTGTCTATTTACCAGGGAGCTGAAACCTTAAGGTGCTTGCTCCCCCTCCCTCCTCACACTTTCCCCCCTTGTATATCATTTCTTTTAGTTTGTAAGCCTGTGGGGCGGGAATTATTTTACCACTGATTTCTGTAAATTGCAGAGGGAGCCTTTTTGCCTAAAGACTGGGGTTAATGTGGTTCAATAAACAAATAAATAGGATTGTTCTGTTGATGTACCTGTTGGCACAGATAAACCACAAGGGAGATGTCCGCAGGGGCCAGGGATGAATTGGAGGAAGATGGGGTTAAATTAGACAGAAGCCTCATGCTGAGAACATCAGGTCACAAAGACAGGGAGGGTGGGAATCAAGAGACACTCTTTGGGGATTGACCAAAAATCATGCTTTGGATTCCACAGATAGCTAATGCAAATCACCATTTGGTGTGATGTCTGAAGTGAGATTCTGTTTTTTATCTGAATAGTCAACAATATTATCTCACTTAGATCACTATTGCAGACATGTAATAGATATGGGCAACTGCTATACATCACTTCTTAGGTTGGGTTTTTTGTTTTTTTACTTTTGCATTCGATTTAGCAGTGGGAGAAAAAATTATGAGCTTTTGAGAGCAGATGGAAGACCAGAAAATGACATTTGAGGAATGGGCAAAATTAAATCTGGATCCACTGCTCACAGGAGTGCAAGGCTAAAGTACTTCAAAAATTCAGTGTGGAGATAGGAGTTAGACGAAGCCCAACTCAAGGACCAGTGCTATTCAGCTATGTAATGAATGAGACCAAGTGGAGGTCAATAAGGGAATTTAGCAGACGTGTCTAAGTTGGACAAATATCATGTAAGTTGGACAAATATGTGTACAGCATATGGCAATGCAGTGTTGACATTGAGCCCTCTGGAACTACAAAAAAACAAACAAACTGTAAATGAAATGGTACTTTGGTTTGGTACTTGCAGTGATAACAAATAAGATTTCTAATTGTGCAGGTCTCCCTGAGTCTTTCTCTTCCCAACCTTTATGTGTTGTGTTATTGTAGAATGTGTCCCTGTTCCGCTGCCTCAGATTAACGATTATTTCTGCTGCGACTTCACCAGCAGGTGTGCAGGTGTAAAACATTGCGGCATTCTATGCATTACAGCCATCACTGTAATCTGAAAAGAGATCTGTAAACTGCAAGTGTCAATAATGCGATTGGTCATGTATTTTTGTACGAATCAAGTATTTGGAACCTGAATTAGAGTGACAGCAAAAGTCTAAATGTTGCTAAAGGAAGTTTTCATGCAGAATATTCAAATATCCTGTTAGGATAAAATCCCAAGTGCATAGGACATGGGTATTTTTTTAAAAGAAGAAGATTTAAACCGACAGAGGACCAGTTCACACATTAGGTGTATTAGAGGGCTTTTTTTTCAGCTGGAA